CACCATGTTAGCCAGGATGGTCTTGATCTCCTGACCTCGTGATCCACCCACCTCGGCCTCCCAAAGTGCTGGGATTACAGGTGTGAGCCACCATGCCCAGCCTTTTTACTAAAAGTATATCTTGTCTGATGGAAGTATAGCTATCTCCAATCTTTCCATTTCTATTTGAATGGAATATCTTTTTCCATCCATTTACTTTGAGTCTGTGTGTCCTCAGAGGTGAAGTGAGCCTCGTATGCATAGCATATAGTTGGGTCTTCCAGACAAGTGATTCTAAACAAGTAACATATAGTAACATAGTCCACCAGTCTGTTAGAACCATGATAGCTAGGCATCTGGCCAGGGGTACATCCATCTTTTACAGGGCCTGAAGCTGATATAATTTGAGGAATTTTTTTTTAAGAAAAAGAATTTAAATTTTCAGATACAAAATTAGATACCACAAAGGACTTCTACAAGTAAGAGGTAATGAAGCTTAAGCTTCATTAGCTTCATGGAAAATTCATCTCTGTATCTGGCACACAGTAAACGTTGCATAGTTATTTGCGGAATGATTTTTTATTTGCGGAATGATTTTTGATTAGCTAATATCTGTTCATTAAAACTAATGTTACAATGAGTATGACTACCCTGCTTGTGGGCCACTTGCTTGCAATTTCTTCAGTATATTTAGATTTAACAGTACCTTAGCATTAGTCTCAATGAGCTTACTCCATGTCCATTATTCCTGTATGTGCTAGCCTGCCCAGGTAAAGGACATAAAAATGAAATATACAGCCAAATGGGTTTTATTTTCTTGATTCATTTAGACTATGACCATTTCCCAGATATTTGTTGTCTTAATCCGTTTTCTGCTGCTACAACAGCATACCACAGACTGGGTAACTTATAAAGAAAACAGATTTATTCAGTTAACAGCTCTAGAGCCTGGGAAGTCCAAGAGCTTGGTGCTGGGATCTGGTAAGAGTGATCCCATGGTGAAGGGTGGAAGGCAGAGTAAACACATGAGACAGAGAAAGGAAATTGGGCCAAACTCACTTTTACAACAAACCCATTCTTTTGATAACTAACCCACTCCTGTGATAACAGCATTAATCTATTCATGATGGCAGAGCCTTCATGACCTAATCCTCTCTTAAGGGCCCCACCTTCCAATGCCATTGCACTGGCAATTAAGTTTCAACATGTGTTTTGGTGGGACATTCACACTATAGCATTTAATTGTGTAAATCCAACATTTAAACTAAATTCCTAGGCTAAATCTATCAAAAATTATTAAACAAAGTCAGAAGATAGCCACTTGAGAGGTGATATAGATACTAGATATGTCTTTCACCAGATTCTAAAGCTTAATTAACTCTGTCAGACTGAGGGGCATGGAATTATAGAGATATACTCTTGAATGCATTTTGCTTAAGTCCACATTCAAATATATGAATAATGAGGAGGTCCACAGGTGAATCAGCAAATAAATGGACTGCATAGCATGTTTCCAAACAGATTATGAAATTAAAACTTTCATGGGGGAGATATAATATCAATTTAAGAACTATTAATGTTTGCCCTCTTAGCTAGCACCTCTAGTCCCACCTACTCAGGAGACTGAAGCAGAAGGTTCACTTGAGCCCAGGAGTTTGAATCTAGCCTGGGCAAAGTAAAGCACGATCTCTTTTATTTTTATGTTTTAATTTGCCCTCTTCAAATCGATGACCCCAATTCCCTAGAACTATTTTTTTAAATACAGGGGAGAAATCAGAGAATTAAGGAAGAATGCAAAAATGAGAGACAGAAAACGTTCCAGAAATAATTTGACCACAGATCTTATAGCCCACACTTACTTCTAAACATAAAGTACTCATAATGGTACCACAAATAGAACTATCTATATATGGGTATGTTTTTTTGTTTGTTTGTTTATATGGCTGTATATCAGTGTTCTATAGTTTTAAAATTAACTAGAATAAGTTTTAGATATTCTTCACCATTTGTTTTGACATATTAATTTTAAGATCAATTTATCAAGTTGAGGGGATTTTGATTAGAACTCCACTGAGTTTTACAGAATATATGGGGTCAGAATTGAAATTTTTATAAATGTATGGTCTTCCTAGATATAAGCATGTGTATGTCTGTATTTTAATCAGATGTTCATTTATGTTCTTTAGTAATGGTTGGTAATATCTTCTCAAATGTACTGCATATTTTTTGCTTTCAATAATAAATACAAATTTTATCAAAGAACAGAAAACAGGGAAAGCCACCTAGCTCATTTCATAAGACCAGTGTAATCTTGATACCAGCCAAGGGCAGTTCAAGTAAACAAAGTCACAGACTATTCTTAAGAGCATAGATGTAAAAATCTTAAATATTTGCAAAGTTGAAAAAAGTATATATTTTCAACTTACCAAATTCTTCTCTGAATATAAGAATCTATTATTAAAGTATCATGCTATTCTTGGATTAAAAATTAAAAACCACATATTATTTTGATTGTACATTTAAGTTGCCTCCAGTTTTTCACTGTTATAAACAGTGCTTTAATTACCAATCTTGGATACTGTCCCATCATTTCCTTAGGAAGATTTACCAAAAGTATATTTTAAATTATGATATATTGTTAAAATACAGGTACCGCAAACTTTTTTACAAAGGGCCAGATAGCAAATATTAGAGATTTGTGAGCCAAGAGGCAAAACTGAAGTTATTATGTAGGTACTTATATAACAAGACAGAAAATTTCCATAAATCTTTATTGATGAAATTAAAAGAGTACAATTTTTGTGATATAGCTCTACATATGTGAAGAATGGAATCCTTTTCAGAGGAGGTAACATTTCACTTAATTGGGTTTGAAAGCTGGTGTTTCCTATCAAAATCTTTAGCTAACGTTCATCTGTTAATGCTTATCTACAATGAGATTTTACATATTTCACCTTTGAAAATGTCTTTCCACATATATAAGTACTGCCAAATACTGATATCAATCCATGAGTATATGCTTTTAATTGAGTATATTCAACAGACTGGCAGGCATTTTTAGAATTCTATTAGCTAAAAGGCTAGAATGCCTTTTAGCATGTCATTACATTGCAAATCACTTCCAATTAAAGTTCCTCAATTGCACAGTTAAATGGATTTTGGAATATGTAAATTTCCTTTGCACTTGCATCAAGGTCTGAAAAACACTGCTGTAATTTGAAATCAGAAAATATATTGCTGAAAATTTGTGTAGGAATGGAGATGATTTAAAAAAAAAAACCTTTCGACAGTGCAGGAAGTATGTGATGCAGCCTGACATTACTTGCAATTCAAACAATGTTCTCATTGAAATGACTTTATCACATTATGTTTCACATATAAGTTTCACATATAAGCACTGTTTTACTTTGTAACTTTAGCTTGAAACCGTTTCAAATTTGCAGCAAAAGCTAATTTCAAAGCCACTCAGTGTTCAATAGCAGTGATTGAGCACAGTTCTTCCAACCGTTAAAAATGTAAAAACCATTCTTAATTTGAGGACTGTATCAAAAGCAGGCTAGATTTGGCCCATGGGCCATAGCTTACTGACCCTTGGCTAGTGCAGTGGCTCATACCTGTAATCCCAGCACTTTCGGAGGCCGAGGCGGGCAGATCACAAGGTCAGGAGTTCAAGACCAGCCTGATCAACATGGTGAAACCCCGTCTCTACTAAAAATACAAAAGCTAGCCAGGCATGGTGGTGCATGCCTGTAATCCCGGTTACTCAAGAGACAGAGGCAAGAGAATCACTTGAACTGGGAAGGCAGAGGTTTCAGTGAGCCGAGATCATGCCACTGCACTCCAGCCTGGCAACAGAGTGAGGCTCTGTCTCAAAAAATAAATAAAGTCTTAACCAATTATATTCCCAGTAAGTGTTACATGCCTGTTTTCCCAAAACTTTGCAACCTGTAATTATTATTTACTTTTAAAGATTTATCCAATTTGAAATTACATTTTTCAGCTTGCATTTATTTACATAAGGTCACATATCTTTTAATGATTATAAGCCATTTATATCTATTTCTTCACTGTAAGTGGTTGTTCATATTCTTTCCCCATTTTTATTTCAATAAAATTTTCATTCCAACAATCATTCTGCATAGCAAAAAGAGATCTAAATCCTTTTTAGTGACTCCACTTGTTCAGTATTACTTTTCACTGCTTTCTCCTACACATCCAACACTCCTTCCATATGGAAAGATCTGCCATTGTCTGAGAGTTGTGTTTTCTCAGGCTTCTCTGCATATCTGCACCAGACACCATTCATTCCCTGTCACCTTTTCTCCATTTTCCCCCTCTTATAGTAACTCTTATTCACCCTTCAAGACTACCATCAGAGATCAGTTCCTCCTCTTTGGTTCCACAGCATCCTGCACATATGTGCTATAAAATCTATCATACTTTTTTGTAATTAACTATTGGTTTACAGTGGTCTCTCTCCCCACTGGGCATACAGCTTTTTGAGATACGGTATTATAATTGATCGCCATACTCCAAAACAGTGCCCAGCACTTAGTTGGTACTAATTATTTTATTTCATAATACTAGTAATATTAATAATAACAAATATATGCCAGACACAGCAACGAATCTGTTTAGTATCCCTTGTATCGTGCTTAGCATAATATGCAATTAAAATCTGAAGACACACCCTTGGATATTAATGTCTTACAAAAGAAAAATAGCAATTAACATTTTTTATTCCCTGACAAAACTGAGTATGTCAAAGACTTTATTAAAAACTTGTATTTTCCCTCACAGCTTAAAATAATTTATTTAAATACTTGCCTTTAGTTATAGCTGTGATCTCCAATTCAGAAAAATTTGCTTATACTAGAAAACTAAGAAACTTAAAATACAGAAAAGAATATTTACAAACTTTCTATTTTGTAATCTGAACAATAAGTTTCTTTCAAAATCCTCTTTGTAATTTGAGCAAGATTCATTTTGAATCAATCTTTTATTTTGCTTTATTTCCTCAGGATATTCATTACCTTGCACTAGATAAAGGTGAATTGGCACTAGCTGAAGTGGCAAGAAAAAGAGCTAGTGACATTGATGCAGAATCAATAACCTCTGGAGTTGGTAAGAATTAATGCTATTTTTAAGTGCTTTTTATTTTAATCAATAGTATCATTTCTATTTATGTTTGGAGGACATGGTTGGTTAATTTGAATTACTTTGTTTGTAAAGACAGTGCCTTATAAAAAGAAGAATTAAGCCTTGACAAACAGCACAGTATTGATATACAAGTTGGAATTGTGTTTATGTGAAAATTTCTAATCAGTGATTACTATTGTCATCATTTAGCAAAAAGTCAAAAGGATATTCTTTTCATAAGATTTTGTGAGTATTATCATACTGTTGTTATTAAAATTAACCAACACAGAAATTTATATAATCCTTTATACACAGACATGTCATTTCTCAAAAGAATTCTCTCCTATATCGGGCAAAGTATTTCATATGGGAGTTTGGGTTTGATAGGTGATCTGTTTTTCTTTAGAAGCTGCTAGAATCATTTTAAACTGTAGTATTCTAAAGAAGACAGATCAGAAGCCTTAGAATGAATTTAAAAGTTCCTTTAAATTTTATAATATAAAAAATGAAAGTTTATAAAAAGTATTGTAATATTAACACTAACATCTTTTTTTTCACCTCAGTTTATCTAATGCCTCTAAATTGAGCAATATTGATACTTAGAAATCCAATTCCTTTTCTTACTGAGTATTTATTATTCTTAAATTAGGCAAAGAACCCTCAGGATTGTACTAGAATTCATTCTTCTGTGGAACTCCTCTGAAACAAGTTTTAAAAAGATTTCCACTTTGTAAGTGCTTGAAAAATCTTATACAAGCCTCTCCATTGACAGATCTTGTGCTTTGTTTTTGTAATGCTGTTTACAGCCAAAGGGACCAATTGTCAGCTTCTTTCTGACACCACCACATAGATCTAATCTTAAAGGTGGTACTGAAGGACTCAAAGCCATTCCAGCAGGGTAGCTCTAAACCTGAATACCAGGGCCAACAGGTACTAGCAAGATAATTCCATTCTCCTTCCCCCATCCTGAAAGAGTTCCAAATTGATTAGACCACTTTCATATCTCCATTTCTAATGGATAAGGAATACTCACTATTAATGCAGTATTGGATAAGAATAACTGTAATTGACCTATCACTATATCTTGTTACTTGCTAGGGAGGGATATTAATGTGTGAACTACTACTACTAATAGCACCTAATATTTATTGAATGCTAAGTTACAGATAACTAATTTTCACCACAACTCTGTGAAGTACAATTTATATTTGCTATGCGAAGTCACTTCTAACTAAATGATGAAAGCATACCATGTTTATAGAAATGATGATGTTATATGATAGGGAAATATCCTCCATCCCCATCCCTCTAGCCATTTAGGAAAACACAGTAGGAAGTTAAGTCATAGCCAGTTTTCTGGGATGTTTCCTTAGCTGTCCTGTACCCTGCCTTTTCTTCCAGGATATCAGATATCATGAAGGCCATCTTTGCATTTTAAAGCTATCTAAAAATAGTAACAGTGAAAGAGAATGTGAAGAGATTATCACAAAATTTCAGCAAAACAAAGAAACTCCCCGATTCACCAAAATGCATCTCATTTCCTATATATTCTCTGATGAGGTTACTGTGGCCAGCGGATAATTCCTAGCCAGAAAGCTTAGTGTACCCACTTTGAGCCCTGCGTCATTTCTAGCAAATATATTTTCAGTGATACCCTGTTACTTCTCTTTTCTCAGTCTTGTCTCAGGCCTCAGACTTTGACCTAGATTACTATGTTTTGACAAAGATACTATTAAATAACATCAGTAACTTTCAAGACGTTGCCCTATTACATGAATGTTCTACTCAGTTTTGCTGCAGAAAACTGGGTGATTCTCACTCAGAAGTCCAAATGGAATTAGCAAAGAATTTCTGGTTTCCTCATCATGGTCTCTGCCTAGTTCTTTTTTGCAGCCCACATCATGCTGGGGAAAGCTAATTTTCTCTCAAATTCCCTCAATTTAATTCAATTATTCTCTTAAACTTATCCCAAAGCTGAAAGTTATTAAATTTTTGGCTTTCAAAGTGGTTCTTTGATGCAAGCAAGGAGCCAAATTATGTAAGACAGCGAAAGAGTAGTTCCATTTACATGGGAGAGTCTGTAAAAAAGCATCAGACATAAATACTGTCACCATAGTTAAAAGCAAGAGTTGCCAAAGGAAAAGCTGGATGATGATAATCTGAACAATTTGGTAATTTTTTAAACTTTTTATTTAAGTCTAACATGCATACAGAAAAGTGCACAAAACATAAGCATGTGACTCAATGAATTTCACAAAGGGAACACATCCTTGTAAAGAGTATCTCGACCAAGTAACATATGTTACCAGGACCCCAGAAGCCCCAGAAGATGCTATAATCTCAGCCCAACTGTCCAGATTTGTAACGTTATAGACTAGTTTTGCCTTTTTTCAAACTTAAATAAATGGATTCAAACCTATATTTCAAACTTAAAATAAATGGATTCAAACCTATATTCTTTTGTATTTGGCTCCTTTTATTCAACATTACGAATCTGAGAATATTTCATATTGTTGCATACAGTTATAATTCTTCCGTTTTTATTGCTGTATAACAATATTCCAATGCATGAATGTACTTCAATTTATTCTGCTTTAGATGGATACTTGGGTTGTTTCAAGTTTGGGACTAACGTGAATAGTGCTGCTATGAACATTCTTGTGTATGTCTTTTAATGGACATAGGTACGCAGATCTGTTCGACTGTGCTTAGAAGTGGAATTCCGTGACATAGGATATGCAGCCTTAGTAGTTACTTCCAGTTTTCCAAAGTAGTTGTTAACAATTTCCCTTCTCACCAGCAGTACGTAGGAGTTCCAGTTTTGGCCATCCTCAATGATGCTTGATATTGTCTCTCTTTTTCATTTTAGCCATTCCGGTGGAAAAGATATTGTAATTTTGTATATGTGATAGTATAATATATAGGCTGTTTCTGGACCATGTTCTATTTTATTACTGTTTGTCTATACTTGCACAGATATCTCACTGCTTTAAGCAACTCTGACTGTCAATATTATTATTTAGTAGTGCAAATTGCCCAGCTTTGTTCTTTAAGATGGACTTGTCTATCTTTCCATATAAATCGCAAAATCAGCTTATACCCTGATTCAAGGAAAAAAAAAAAAAACAGTGGGGGCTGAAATTCTAGTTAGAATCTCATTTAACTCATAGATACATTTAGGCTGAATGTATTTCTTTATAATATTGTTTTCCAATCCATTAATACGATCTATCCCTGCATTTATTTAGGTCTTCTCTATTTCTTAGGAAAAATGTTTTGTAGTTTTCATAGTAGTGGTCTTCTACATCTTCCTTTAGATTTAAGTATTTCTTTTTCTCCTTTGTATGTGGTAATCTTATTTTAAAATTTCATTTTCTGTTTTATTTCTGGTATATATATGATTGACTATTATATATATCGACCTTATATCCAGCAATAAGTGCTAAATTCACTTATTAATGCCAACAGTTTGTAAATTCTTTTGAATTTTCTGCATCCCAATCATGTCATCTGGAAATATGTTAGTCTCTTTGCATTGCTATAAAGGAATACCTAAGACTGAGTAATTTATAAAGAAAAAAGGTTTATTTTGGCCCAAGGTTCTTCAGGCTATGTGAGAAGTATGGTGCTGGCATCTGCACCTGGTGAGGCCTCAGGAAGCTTCAAATCATGGCAGAAGGTAAAGGGGGAGATGCCATATCACATGGTGAGAGAGGGAGAAAGAGAGAGAGAAGAGGGGAGATGCCATATCACATGGTGAGAGAGGGAGAAAGAGAGAGAGAAGAGGAAGACCCAGGCTCCTTTAAACAACTAGCTCTCATGTGAACTAACAGAGCAAGAACTCACTTCTTACCATGGGGAGGGCACCAAGCCATGTAAGAGGGATCTGCCTCCATGACCCAAACACCTCCCACGAGGCCCCACCTCCAACATGGGGATTACATTTCAATATGAGTTGGAGGGGACAAACATCCAAACCATATCAGCAAATAAGGACATTTTAATTCCTTCCTTTCTAGTTCTTATGCCTTTTACTTCTCTTTCCTTATTACTGTACTGACTAGAAGCTCTAGTATAAAGATAAGTAGAAGTTGTGACCGGCATTATTTTCTGTTTCTTGATTCTCAGGGAAAGCTTTCAATAATTCACCAGTTAGCATAAAGTTTTCCCCAGGTTTTTAATAAAACTTTCATACATATTAATAAAGTTCCCTTCAATAAACTAGTTTGCTAAGAGTTTCTATCATGAATAGGTATTGAATTTTATCAAATACTTTTCCTGTGCTTATCAAGATTATTATGATCTTTCTCCTCTGTTCTATTAATATAGTGAATTGCATTGATTTTCAAATGGCAAACTAACCTTACATTCCAGAATAAATACTTCTTAATTGTGATGATGTATTTTTACATATTCCTGGATTTCATTTACTATTTTTAAATGTTGGCATTTACATTCATGAGGGATCAGTCTGTAAATGGTTTTACTTCAGTATCTCTGCCTAGTTTTGATATCCAGATTATTTTGACCTAATGCCTAAATGTCAAGCATTCTAGAAAGGATACATTTGAACATGTAATAGTACTTTATGTCCAGTTATTTATATATGGCATATGTAACACTTCCTACAACTTAAAAATTTTACATTAATCTTGACTGTATTGATGTCAACATTTTGGTTGTAACATTGTATTAAATTTTTGTGAAATACTATCATTGGAGGAAACTGGGTAAAAGAGACATGGGACCTCTCCATTATTTCTTACAACTGCATATTAATATACAATTATCTTTAAAAGTTTAATTTTTAAAGTTTATATTAATATAGTGTCCTATGTTAAGTACTGTAATAAACATTACCTTATTTGGTCCTCCCAAATTATCTCTAAAGGAGAAACTACTCTTGGTGAATTTTTTTAGAAGCTTTTTTCTTTAATAATTTCAGCTTTTATTTTAGATTCAGGGGGCATATGTGCAGGTTTGTT